GCCCCCCCGGGAGTTACGCTGTAGCGACTGCATCGTGTGGAACCGGCAGCAGACGTGGCTGTGCGTGGTGCCTCTCTTCATCGGCTTCATCGGCCTTGGGCTCAGCCTCATGCTGCTCAAATGGATCCTAGTGGGCTCTGTCAAGGAGTACGTGCCTACAGACCTGGTGGACTCCAAGGGTATAGGCCAGGACCCCTTCTTCCTCTCGAAGCCCAGCTCCTTCCCCAAGGCCATGGAGACCACCACCGCAAGCACTTTGGTCACAATCCCCACCACCTCCGTCGCGGGCGCGGCTGCCTCCTCCAGGACGCCCAACCGTATTAGTACGCGCCTGACCACCTTCACAAGAGCGCCTACTCGGTTCCCCGGGCACCGGGTGCCCATCCGGGCCAGTCCACGCTCCACCACGTCTCGGAACACTGTGGCCTCCCCGACGGTCCTGTCCACGACGGCCCCCTTGGCCAGCAGCGGTGGACCGGGTTCCCGCTCCCCGGTGCCTGGAGACCCAAGTACCCAGGCAGTGCCCTCCTGGCCCACTGCGGCATATGCTACCTCCTCCTACCTTCATGACTCTACTCCCTCCTGGACGCTGTCTCTGTTCCAGGATGCTGCCTCTCCCTCCTTTTCCTCTTCCTCTCCTTCTTCCTCTGCCATCACTACGCCAGAAACTAGCACCAGCCCCCTATTTCGTAAGTAAACACTTTGATCCGTGATTTACTCCTTTCTTTCCCCTTCTGCCCTCTTGCTGTCTCCCCTGCGCCGCCTCTCTAGTAGCCCCCAGCCACCGACCCAGGTTGGGGGCACCCGGAGAACTGGATGAAACTGGCTGCAAATGGATACTTGTGCCAGCCTGTTTTGGGCCCAACGTGGGTTGGGTGTCAGGAAGGTGCATTGTCTAGCCTAATGGGCCCAATTTAAGTCGGTCCCTAAGGAGGATAGATCTCACTTCCTGGAAGGGGTTAATGCCAGCGGGGCCCATCCTCACTGCAGAGATGTTGGGCGCTCTCTGGTCCAGCTCCTGTGGAAGGATCTGGAGGGAAGCTCCAGAGAAAGGAATGCACAGGCGTCAGACTGGTGGACATTTAGCCTCCAGAGGAAGTTGTGGGGTTGATGGTTTGATAGAGATTTCACTAGGAGAGAGCAGAGGATTCTCCACCAACCTGACCCAGGCTGGGGGACTGGAAGGGTTAATCAGAAGCCATTGGGGAAAGTAGAGGAGGGAGGCAGTCTTCAGCTGTGGTTAAACTGGCCCTAGAAGCCTGCCCCTGGCCACTCTAAGGTGCAGACATTGCTTCTTGTGACTACTGAGATCCAGGTTAAATAGGGGGAAATAAGAGGGTGCCTCTGGTATTGATGATGAGGAAGCTTTTCCAGCTCTGCAAATCGTATGCTTTTGTTCTGTTTCCCTGACGTGGAGTATGAACATCTCTCACTGAGCCTGCAAATTGCAGGCCAATTGGGACAGAGTTGTGCCTCTGTCCACCCCCACCTCCCAAACATCTTTTTATTTTAGCATCTTCCTCCTCTGCTTGCAGCCAGCACTGGCCAGTGTATACCCCAGGCAGGATAGTGCTCTGTTTATTTGTACAGCAGTTGTAGGATTTCTCCATTATTATAAAGGCTGTTACACTGCTAGTTAGCCTCCTCACCCCACCCCAAAACCTTTTTCTTATTGAGGAATCTCTGTAACCTTTTTTATTTGACCAGGTGTGCAACTGTGAAGGTTATTTAGGACATCCCCCAACCCTGTCTGTTCAAGTTCTGGGCAAGGCTAAAACACTGCCTGGTTAGCTGTCTCCATACGGCATTCATATTTTGAGCTGTCATATATGGAGGAAAGGAATAGGGCTCTTTTTAAATCTCTGATGTTAGAACACTGGGTTTGTTTAGAGTCCTCAGTAATTTTTCATTACCCTGATCTGTGTATCTTGGGCTTTAGAGTGTTTATGGATAAAGTCTTGGTTAAAAAGCTTTTATACTCAATGCTTTGGAAGAGGAAGAAGGCTGTGAGGCATGGAGAAGGGTAGGAAGAATTCTGTCATCAACCAGATGGTACCCAAGCCAGGGAATTGCTGCTTTCTCCCTTGGTCAAAGAAGTGATTTTTGAGAGCATTTATTTTCAGGGGTTCAGGCCACCCCCTTCAATAAATCAAACTTTTAAGGATTAAAGGTTATGTATGTGGAATGGATCACACTCAGTGGCTTGAAGCGGAATGTGAACAGAGCTCCCAGTGGTTTGCTCTCCTTTATCTGAAGCAATTGCTAGGAATAATGGGTTGTATAGGCCTACCCACCTTGTGTTACACATCATGAGGCATTCCATGTTTTTTTTCTCAATTGATTTCCTTTCTTTCCATTCTGAAGGTCTTTAATGAAAGAGCTCAAGGTAATTTTTCCTGCTCCTACATGCTCCCTTCCTGCACTGTGAGGAAGAGAACAGCAGCCTTTTTAATAAATAATAATTATTGACAGGGTGCTCAGCCCCAAGGAAAAGAGATGGAGATCTGCATATGGTGTCAATGTGTATGCAGAGATATAAGCAGTATTAGTTTTATACATATATGATGTCCAACTTTTCCTTTTTAAAACCTTTGATGAAAAATGGAATTAAGGGATAAAACCAAGTATGCATATCCAGCAAAAACTGGCATGAGTTTGCACATACCAACACAAAGGAGATTTTAATGAAAGGAAGATTCTGCAGTTTCCATAAAAGGAGAGCATAAATATGTAAGTTTTTATGGTAATTGAAAGAAAAAAGATGATATGGCTTCCCCTCCCCCTTTTTAATTTAAGATTGCACAATGATTAACAAAAGGAAGGACACTATTTCATTTGAGGTATTGTCAGTGCTGCTGTGGGCTGAAATTGGTCTTATTTTTTAACTTATTTTTATTATATTGATAAATTTCTCAGAAGAGAGACCCTTTTTCCTCCAGCTCCTACCTCTGGACTTCAAAAGTGTTTTGGTTTTGTTTAATTGAAATTCATGGACTATTGTAGCACCTGAGGATGGGGAACAGATGTTGCTCTGGTATTTTTTGTTTGCTTGTTAGTGTATCCTTCCCCTGCACTAATGGTCAGGGTCTTTACTCTTGAATTGAACATCTCAAGTCAAGTGAAATGAATGCTATTGTGTTCATCTTGGGTCTGCAAAGAAAACATAGCCCTTTGGGTGAGAAAATCTTAATTCACTAGTAATATAAATACATTGCTAATGGGTTTCTGCAGCAGAAAGGATTTTTACTAAGGAGAAGGCCCAGTTTAAAGGGCTGTCTCTGATTACCCATAAGATCGAAGGTGAAGAAGGTAGAAAGGAGCATGGCATGGTAACTAACCCTTCTTTTTTTGTCCTTAATCCATTAGGCCAAAAGCTAGACCAGAAATGGTACCTCTTGGGTTCCCAAGTAGCCAGTCTTTGCCTTCCTTTCTCAGGACTAATTACTCAATAAACAAGGCATACACAGGCCCATTTGTGTCTTTGCACCCATCTGCAGGTGGCAATGTTGCTGTGAAACTTCTGTGGAACTGCCTATCTCAGATTTAGGAAGTAAATATGGTTGGGCCTATCTTTGCTCTCAATACCATTCCTACTGTTTAACCTGACCTTGATTCTGATATTTTAAAAACAAACTTTAAAAGCATATTATTATTAGGAGGTTTCCTACCAGAAAGACTTTGAAGCCTTTTGTATATTTAAGTATAGGTTAGTTTTTAGATTCCTTAAGCCCAAGAGAGGTCCGATACAGCCAGCAGAGAAATAACTATTTTGACCAGTGTAATCAACAGCTGTTCCCTTTTGTGGCACCTTGAACTATGCTTGCTTTCAGATTGATATCTAATTGTGGAATATTGTCAGTGCAAATACGGATTGATTTAGAGACCTAGAAATACTTTATTTAGGGGGAAGCGGTGCCTGACAGGTAAAAGATGAGTGATTGGCCCAGTTCAGAGACTGTATATGAATGAATATCCACATTTAATGAGTTATTCTTTGCATAATACTTAGAAGTTATGAAAGTTAATTCTAGAGTGTATGTTCACAAATCTTGAGTGAGTTTATTAAATAAATAAAATGTATTATTGATGTTTACATATGATAAAAGGGGAAATTTTGATCGAATCAAGCTTATTTAAAGAAATACTTACTGTTTGTAATTTTAATAGAACCATTGATGATAATGTCCACTTTCCCCTCATTTGTTCTTTTTAAACATCTTCAGTTTAGTAAAAGTACTCTTGGTTGCTTTATATGCAGCCTCAAGTATGAGTTACTTAAGTTACTCCTACATATGGGCTTTCATCTGTGTGCATCAACAGAGGAACTGACCCCAGCTGTGCCTGGTAGCCAGAATGAGAGGATTCAGAACTTCTGTGGAATCGAGTTTAGCGCTCTTCCCCCAGGCCCCAGGAAAACATGCTGCAGTGCTACAGTCTGAATGTTTTCTTTTGTTTGGCCTGAATGCAGAATTATTTCCTTCAGTAATAAGCTATATTGTACACTTGTCTGTCTTGAGATGCTTGTATTACCTGTGATAGATTTAAGGAAAGAAAGCAGTGGGCCGGGAGTTGGCAAGACTGTTCTTAGGCCCTTGTTAGCCTGCATTAAATTAGTGTTGTTTAAGCATTTTCCTTGGACCAAGGAGGATAGAAAGAGAATTGATGCCTTTGATCTGCGGTGCTGGAGAAGAGTATTGAGAATACCATGGACTGCTAGGAAAACAAACAAATTTGTCCTGGAAAGGGTTAAACCGGGTGGCTCCTTGGAGGCAAGGATTCTGAGGCTCTGTCTAACATACTTTGGACATGTTGTGAGGAGAGTCCGGTCCTTGGAGAAGGACATCATGCTTGGGAGGGTGGCGGGACAGTACAGGAGGGGAAGGCCCTCTATGAGGTGGATTTATTCAGTGACTGGAATAATCAGGATGGGAGTGTCAGAGATAGTGCGATTGGCACAGGATAGAGCCAGAGCTTAGGGCTGTTATACATAGGGTTGCTATGAGTCGCAAGCGACTTGAAGGCACGTAACAACAACAACAAGCATTTTCCTACCAGTCTCTTATAACTGATATAAAGGCTTGGAGATTGTGATGTTTTCTCTTTTGTAGGTTTAATACATGAATTTAGCCATTCTTGGCTTGGCACTGTTATACTAGTCTCTTAGTACACCATATTGATCTATAGGCTCATAGGAAATGAATACCAGCCCTGCCTCCTTGGCATTCCACAAGCAGGAAAACCTGATTCCTTTATGGCCTTTTTGTAGAAATTCCTTTCTTATTAATACTCAAATCTAATGCCAAACATATATCAGTATTCTGTCTTCTATATCAGAAAAGGAACAGGGAAGTTGACCCTGAAATAGAAAAGTTCAAAGGATGGTCCATAAATCTGCATCTTCAGAATGCATTTGAATTGCTTGTGAATAGAGCTGAAATTAATTTTTCTTATTTTGAATCTGATTTTATTTTAAGACCTGTGTTGAGTGAGGTACCGAGCTGGTATTGTGCTGGCAAATTGCACTGGGGCATTTTAAAATCCTAGAAATTTTACTTGGCTGCACTCAGGAAAGACTTCTTTACAGAACACAGTGGAGGGAGAAATAGGCTCAGTTTTGGAGCTTTGTAATATCAGAATGAAATCTCCCTCCAGAAATATTTCCTTGTTTGTGCAATTATTAATGAATAGT